ATAGGAAAAAAGCCAGTCTATAAGGGTGGGAATGGTCCCTGGAGGCTGTTGGACCAGGTGAAAGGGTTCAGAAAGAAAGATTTTTATTGGGTCTGTTTCAAGTTTTAATATACTGCTTACTTGCTTCTGAATTTTCTTACATGATGTAATCTGGTAAGCAATTGTATTAGTTATGTTGCTGGAAGGGCAATTTCTTTTATAATCTAGAATGTTGGTAAATTAATTGTGCCTTCAGAGAAAAGAGAAAAAGGAATGAATCGAGGCTGTTGGGCATTCTATATGGTCTTGTTTTGTAATATTTCCTTCTAAATATTGTAATTTAAGAAGTGAGAACTTCCAAATTTTGTCTATGTTTAAAGAGAAGTTTTAGCTGGGATTATCTGACTTTCCCTTATGAAGTTTAAAATTGTTAAGTAAGCTATGTGGACTTATTGTTAAGTCAAGCACTGGTAAAAATATTTTGTGTGTGCGTGTGAAAAGAAACCTGGTAATTATGCAAAAAAAAAAAGATTTTGTAAAATCTCATAATTCTTATAGGCACCTTTTGACTAGAGAATTTAGGTAATTAGAAATTTTAGGGTAATTAGGAAATTGTAAGCTGTTTTTGAGAAAGGGAGATACTTTCATTAAAAAAAAGTTTTGATAAAATCTTTGATATTCTTTTAGAGGGCCTACTAAATTTCTATTTGTAAGAAAATTATGTCCAAACCTACTATGAACTTAGAGTTTCATTCCTGGGTTTGTTGTGCCCTTGGACTGGACTTAATTGGGTGCTTTTAGAGAAATAGTCTCAATGGAAGCAGCATCAGAGATCTAAGGCTAGTGATTAATACTAAAGCATATAAGCTGTAAGTAGCAAAGATCTTACTATTTGTTTTGATCTGAATTCATTCCATGGCCTAGCAAGAGTTAAAATCACTGTTTGAACTTATCATAAGTATAGGATTCAAGTCCTAAAAGTGTCTCATTCTTTCAGATTAAGAATGGTTAGAAAGGAATAAATAAGCTTGAGAAACAGGCAAATTTATTTAGAATAGCAACTTATGATCTTAATGGAAACTTTGTTTTACTCAGGACGTTATTAGGAATCAGAACATGTGTAGGAAGTTATGCAAACTACTTAGAGCTCACTTTGGAGATGTTCCCCAATTAAACTATATTCCCACCTGAATCACTGATAAGGGGAATTTGCTATCTAAGACCTTGGGGACTGTTAATGAACTATTATTTTGAGTCTTACCTCCAGGTATGGCTAACAAGGAACTGATTGAGCTATTGACCCATGATGTCAGCAACCTGCAAAGAGGTTTGTGAGCTGCGTCTATGAGCTGCAAGAGGGTGTTCTCACCGGAAAGTCGGGAGAGCGACTTTTCTGTATGGCTGAGGTAAAATTCTCCCCACTCAATTTCCCTACTATGACACCTGGCAGACTTTAAGCCTGGCTCAATGCAGTTAGTCATATATATGTAACTTCTGCCTGGAGTTGACACGACTCTAGGGAAGCATTGTTCCCTTCCTTTAGTTATGTTCTTTCATTGCAAATTCCGACAATCATAAGTTAGTAAGCATAAATATCAAATCTATTAAACAATAGATTGATGCAGAAACATCTGAGGCTATAGGAAGATATAAGTGTAAGACTGAGTTATTTGGCCTAGAATTTCAGAATTAAGTATTCAGTCTTGACATCTGTTACTAGTATATTCCTGTATAAGTCAGGTTCCTTTAATTTCTCATAATGGTTATGATGAGGTCTGGAGGTTTGGAGGTGCTGGGACTCCAGGGTCACAGCACAAGGGTTCCTCCAGAAGACGGTCAGCCCAGGTCTTTTGTTGGAAGTTTGTTGGAGATAAACCATATAGGCCAGGTGACACCGATAAGGACAAGTAGGCAGAAGAAAGTCTCGCTGTTTAAATGGGGGCCAGGGTGATCTTACATACACTAAAGTAACTTTGAGTGGAAGTAGGATATTATTCTGTTACTTAGTTAATACTTAGTTAATGTTAAAGTTGTCTCAGTTTGTTACAAACTAATGTTAAAAGGGGAATAGCTTGTGAAAGAAGCATCCATTTTAATTAAGGATTATTTATTTGTACATGACCAGAAGTTGAGACTGTTTTAGTATCTGATATGTAATGGTTTTAAATTAACTACTATATATTGAAGTGTGTTAGTAATTTCTTAGTGGAATCTCATCCTGATGGGGGATATGAATAGGAATGAATAATGAACTAATACAAGGTATCAAACTAGAAGTAATTCAGAGTGTAAGGCTAGGTTTTAACTTTTCTAAACTGAGTTTCTTAAAACACGACGATTAACCAAAGTTCCAATTTTGACCTTGTAATAGTGGAGACATGGGGGTTGAGTTAACTTTCATTATTTGCCCTGGTTATTGGCAAGATAATTTAAAATTGTTAAGATCAATCTTGTAGGAGAGAGATGACACAAGAAGGAGGATCTCTGCAGGAGGAGAATCTGCTGGACACTGTCTGAATGGCACTTGGATTAGAGGACTTCACCAGATGATGTCCAGAATGTCAGACAGCTGTGTGAGAAGAGACTTCTGAAGCTTTAAATGGACAATTTATCGTTACTTTTGGGTCTCTGTATCTGTACTGAATAAGGAGACTGACCCCTTTTTAATCTGTCAATGCGTTGTTCACTTTCTCCCATATTATTTTAAGTCCCTAAAATCCCCTGATGAAATGTTGCCCAATAGCACAGCCCCAGATAGAACCATCACTAAGGCATTGCAAGGTTTAACCACTTTAGCTGAGGAGTTGGCAGAGAACTCTGAGATAGATAATTAATTAAAGGGATGGTTAGAATATTAACTGCTGTAGGATGTTGTATAGTTCCATGCAATAAGGCACTAGTACAACGATTGATAATCTCACTAAAGATTATTCCAGCAGGACCCATAGTGGGAGTTCAGAGGGCAGGCTCTGGCAATATAAAGATGATGATTGAAAGTACCAATGAGACTTTCCACAGTGATGGGGAATTCAAAATCATGTTAAGGAAATTAGAGGATAAGGAAATTGGGAAGGTGTGGGAACCAAATCCTTATTAAAGAAAAAATGGGGGAATTGTGAGGATTGCTAACAGTTTGGTCCCCACAGAATTGATGAGGACAGGGGGAGATTAGATTATTGATGAATTGATTTCTTGGTTTATTGGTTTACACAAATATGTAAACAAGATAAGGGAGTGAATGGCATAACATAGGGTGAAGCCTCCTCAGGGAGTTAGTTGCTTCTTGTTCTGTTGAAGCACTTGCAGCTGTTTGATCTTGTAAAGAAACATGCTTTTCAACTTTATCAGACCTCCTCCTCCCTCTCTAAAACTATTTACTCTAAAAAGAAAAGGAAAACTTCCTGTCTCCAGGCAGATTGTAAAAAGTGTCCTTGTTCTTTGTTGCTGGGGTAGATTGCTGCGAATAGGTTGTACCCTCTGAGCTTGCATTAATGAGCCCTGAGGAAGGGGGAGGGGGGGATTGTGCTAAGACCTATATAACCTGTTGATCTGAACACAGCTCTGCTCTCTTCAGTCAGCGCCAATTTTCTGGTGTTCTGGGGGAGCCCTTTCTTGAGAAAGCTAATAAATGAATTTTTCTTTTTGTTAATATCTCTTGAGTCTGATTCATTGATAACGGTCTCTGTACCCTACACAAATTCATTCAGGCAGATTCCACCCCATGATCTGGGCTTTTTCCTGGCACCCCAAAACTTCCCGTGATCTTGGGGTACCTCTGTGCAGCTAGGAGCACCCCAAAACCCCCCTTCAGAAACACCTTTTTTAAAATTCTGAACCCAGGGGCAGCTAGGTGGCACAGGGGATAGAGCACTGGCCCTGAAGTCAGGAGGACCTGAGTTCAAATCCAGTCTCAGACACATAACACTCACTAGCTGTGTGACTCTAGGCAAGTCATTTAATCCCAATTGCCTCACAAAAATAAAATAAAACAGAATTCTGTACCCAACAACTCACCCACCCTTGCCTATACCATTATCTAAATGCAGGGTTTCCTCATCTTTTCTTTTTGGTCTAAACCTGTGATTTCCTCTGGATAGGGAAGTCTCAACATGGAAACTCTCCACTAATGCAGACTAGCAACATGTCTATAACATAGGGTCTTAGAGCATTGCCTGGGGCACTGTCAAAGTTAAGTGACTTGCACATGCTAGGATATCTGATAAATAGGACCTGACCCAGGACCTCCTGATTATGAGGGGCCCTCTTGAGCACCTCCTTGCAGGGCTACTGAAAGGCTAAAATGAGATAATACACATAAAAGGCTTTGCAAACCTTACAATGCTATAAAAATTGTTGCTGTTGTCAAGTGACAACATCCTCCTAACATAAGAACATGACAGGATTCTTTTATTATACAAGGTCATCTTTCTATGCTTAGCTGAAAATTGGGCACAGTTTGGAGGTCTGCAGCAACAGCAAGTGTTGCTCTGATATCACAGCCAAATGCCTACATACAGGGTTCACTTTGCATTTTATATCTTTTCCAGCTGCCAAAAGTTGGGCACATACCAGTCATTCTCAGGGGGTTGGGGGAAGTGGCGTGGAGGTCTCAAAAATACTTCAAAATGAAAAATAAAACAGATGAAAACATCTTATATGAATTGATGTGGATATTCTGGTATTTTCCCTACATGTTAGGATTCTGAGAGTAGTCACAGAAAGGATTCTCACAAAATCAAACATAACTGCCAGGTTTGAGGGATGTGATGTGAGCCAGGTTGGAAAAGTAACACCTAAAGCTGAAGCCCAGGAGCTTTTCACCTAGCAGTTTTAGAGGGTCAGGTAAGCATCCCAAGAACCAATTCAATCCCCAAATCTTCCACATAAATTCTAGGGCCAACTGAATGCTCCAAAAATATAATTAATAACTTTGGTTGGTTCAAATATCAAGTCAGTTTTTATTTGATAACCAGAACCTGAGGAAAAACCCAAGATGGCAAAGAGAATTTTAATGACAAGCCATGAAATTAATAGTTATGAGCCATTCTTGCCTCCACGGAAGATAATCAAATGAAGTGGGTTTTTTTGTTTTTTTTATAAAAGCTAATTTAAGAATAATCTCATTTGAGAGATTGGGGTTGCTCCTCTGGGAACTTCTCCCTTTTCTTCCTTTGGTTCTTCGGCAGAGGTTTTTTTGCTAAATCAGCTATCACTTTCCCCTTTTGTTTGAAGAATCTTCCTATCACTTGTTTCAAGATTACCAGAACCAATAAAATAACTAATAAACCAAGTCGAATAGACATAGCAGGCACAACTTTGACTGGCTTGGACACTTTTTCCACTTTTCCTGCAGGTCCGCTGTCAATGCTTCCTCCAAAACCAGGACTCTCACAGAAGGGAGGGGCCCATCCATAGTTACAGTGGCAATTTTTCAAATTGTTGCAAACACCTCGTTGGTTGCACTTCTCTGGTTTACAGTCATACCGGAGGAATGAAATACTGCGACACGTATGGTTAATACATATCAAGTCCCTCCCACAGGGAGTGCCATCTCTTATGACTCCTTCATCAGGTAACCCCATTGCTATCATTGAGGAATGAAAGTCTAACCCCCAGCACCGAATATTATACTTCTTCACATAACTAAAAATGACTGCTGTATGATCAGGCATTTGAGGGACATTCTTCACATTGACACACTGCAGTCTTCCACACAATATATTACTCACTGAACATCTTTTATAGTCTCGGCCTAACAAGCCACAGTTACCAAATCGATCGGCTGTTCTATGTACTTCTTCATAGCATACACCGGGGGCATCTTTGGCGCCAAATCCAAAAATTTCTTTGCACTGCAAAAAGCGATCAGGACATCTCTTCTGGTAACAGCGGGATGTGTTACGGCATGGGGTTCCATCTTGCTTATAAAAATCATTTGGGCATAGATTTGAAGTTCCATTGCAGAATTCCGCAAGGTCACATTCATTTTCTGTGCCTCTACATACATGTCCAGATGGACTGAAATGACAGTCGGTACAGCACAAACCAGTATTACACTGTGCACCAGGTTTCAATTTACAATCAGGTTGACAACACTTATCCGTTTCACATTGCTCTGCTGTACCACAGTCACACTCCTCTCCTGTCTCTACTACTTTGTTTCCACATTGCTTCACTGTATATGGAAGTCCTGGAACATTATCTAGACACACACCTTCCCTAGTCGAAAAGCGAAAATACTCTACAAAACTGCAATTACTGAAACCATACCTTCCACCAGCGTCCATGATACACAGTGTTCTACCTTGACAAAAACAGGTTCGTGAATCATGGCCCATACCAACAACATGGCCCAATTCATGAGTAGACCATCCAGAAGAAGTAAGCACATTTGTATTTTGCATAAGGCTTGCTGATACTGAAAAATCCCTATTACAGGCAGCTGCAGTATAGCCCCATCCAAGCACATCAGCAGCTGTTCTATGCACATATAAGTGTGTTATATCTATTTTCATTTTTGTGTAGCCATTATTTCTTCTGTAATTGATGAACAAGTTAAGAATTGACCGTAAGTCATTATCCTCAATAGGTAATTTGCTCTTATCTGTCCAGACCTCAATGACTTTTAAGTGTATTCTGACATTCAAAGGCTGAAAGTATGAGTCCATGATACCTGTTATGACAATAATTTCACTGATGACTTTTGTTAAATTGTTCTTGAAAAAGACGAACCGTGTGTTATCAACTACGCTCATCAGCTCCACATACTTTTGGTGAAGGTAGGACTTCCTCCAAGAATCAGTTCTGGGGGCAGGCAGGTTCTGTAGCCTGCTCAGCTGCCTGTCTATTTCTTTATCAGTTAAGCCACAGGTCAAGTTGAGAGTGCCATCGTCCTTCAAGTGATAGACAACGTGCTCAAAGTTGTAGGAAGGCTGAATGGGCTCGATCTGGTAGCTGCTGTCCTCAATCCTCAGCATCCCTCGAAGGCCCCCGAAGCACGTACTCAGCGTCGCTTCCGACCTGGGGGAGCCCTCCACGGACCCCCTGAAGTTGCAGTTCGTCGGGATGTAAGGCTGGTCCCGCACTAGGGTGCCGTCTTCCGTGAAGGTGAAAACCTGGAGGTGTCGAGACAGCAGGAGCTTCTTGGGCCGCAGGTGGATGATGATCTTCTTGCCCTCGATGCGCAGGACGTAGGACACTCGGCCGGCCACCTCGGGGCCGCCCCCGCGGGGCACCAGCTGCCTAGGGATGACCACTTCGTAGGAGCTGAAGCCCGAGTCGGGGTTGAAGACGAAGTCCTGGGCCAAGCAGCCCCACCCCAGGCACAGCAGCAGGAGAGAGCCGCCGGGGGTCGCGGCGCCCATGCCAGCAGCTGGCGCCCAAGAGCCGCAGCCTCAGTCGGTTGGGGAGCCAACCAGCCAGCCCAGCTGACCTCTGCGGGGACACGCCCGGGATGGGGGCGGGGAGGGGCGAGCCGAGAACGAGGCTCCTCGTGATCCACCCCCCCCGGGGTGGGGGTGGGGGGCGGTGCTCGGGCTCTGCGCATGCGCGCGGGGCAGACCGTTGAGGAGGCGGGAAAGTGGAGGAAAAGGCGGGGTGTTGGTTCCTCCCAGCGCAGAACCGGGGGTACGGGAGGGAGGAGAAGGAAATCCCGCGAATGGGGAAGGGGAGCAGGCTAAACTGAAGGGTCAAAGCTAAGCGACAGGCTTGTGTGAGGAGGAGGCCGCGGTGACGCCTTCTGGAAGAACCTTCCACCCAGGACAGGATTCCTCCCCCCCCCCCCCTCCCCTTAACTTACCAGACGGAAGCTGGAAGACCTCAGAGGAGGGCCCAGAGCTCTGTGTGTGTGTGTGTGTGTGTGTGTGTTGGAGAGCGTGTTAGTGTGTGTAATTGTGTGTGAGAGTGAGTGTGAGTGTGTGTATGACTGAGAGTGTGTGAGTACACTTACGAGTGTGTGTGCACGAGAGTGTGTTAGTATGTGTAATTGTGTGAGTATGTGTATGTGTCTCTGTGTGTGTGTGTACTTGTGAGTGTGAGAGTGTGTGAGTGTGTACATGTGTGAATGTGTGTATATGTGAGTGTGTGTGTGTGCATGTGTGTGAACCCTCTTTAACTGCACTTCAGAGAAGAGCCCACTCTCACCCCAATTGTGAAAAATAGCCAAACCGAGCCCTTTCTACCCTCCTGCCTGCCTCCTGCGCTCCCTTAGCTTACCATTCAAGTGCACAACCAATTGGCACCCAATACCTCAGAGTTTTTCTGTATTTAATTCCCTCAATAACCTTCCAATGCAGAAAGGTTCCGAAACAGACACCTCTTTCTTTTCCTACTAGAATGTTAGCCCTATATGGTCATATAGCCTCTTTTCCAAGTTTCTCTGGACTCTTGTGTTTGTTTATGTTTTTGTTTTTTTTTTTTTTTGGTCAGGCAATTGGGGTTAAGTGACTTGCCCAGGGTCACACAGCTAGTGAGTGTTATGTGTCTGAGGCCATATTTGAACTTGGGTCCTCCTGACTCCAGGGCCAGTGCTCTATTCACTGTGCCACCTAGCTGCCCTTACCTTGTGTTTGTATTTCAAAGTTCCTACTCTTGGCTGATCTTTTCATCAGAAATGCTTGAAAGTCCCCTATTCAATTAAAGATTTCCCCCCCCAATAGGGTTACAGTCAGCTTTACAGTTAAGTTATTGTTGGTTTGGGGGAAAAGATAACGAGTTTAGTTTTAGACAAACTAGGTTTAAGATATCTATGGGGTACCCTATTTCAGTTGGCCAGTAAGTAATTGGAGATGGGAGATTAGAGGTCAGCAGAGAGGTTAGGACTGGATAAATAGATTAGAGAGGCATCGGCACAGAGGTAATAATTGAATTTATGGGAGCTGATATCACTAAATGGAAGAGTTTATAGAAAAGACAAGAGGGCTGGGGACAGAGTCTTGGATCATGCTCACAGTTGGCAAGCCCAACCTGGATGAAGATCAGCAAAGGATGGTATGTATATTGAGAATCGTTTTCTTTGTCTTCTCAGTGGGTGGGGAAGGGACTGAAGGGAGGGAGGAAATCTGGAATTCAAAATTTAAAAAGGAATGTGAAAAGATGAAAAAAAATCCAGGAAACGAGACTGAGGAGTGGTCAGATATATAGGAGTAGAGCTAAGGATGTTATGAAAACCTAGAGAGAAGAGTGATCCAACAGTATCAAAGGCTGCAGAGAGGTCAAGAAGGAGGAAATTTGAGAAAAAACCATTGATTGGACAAGACATTATTGATAACTTTGAAGAAAGGAGTTTCAGGCAGCGGCAGCATTTGGCCCTCAATGTAGTTTGCCTACAAAACACTCTACTAGTTAGTGTCAAGGCTGAACTGAGACTAAAGAATGAGGTCCTGGATAAATTTTAAAAGGTAAACATTTTACATATTTTTAGATCACAATACAAAACAAAAATGGAAGATATTAATAAAGTCAGTTTAGGATGTAAGTGGTATTAGGTTACATGGAAACTAAAAAATAATTGTGTTAAAAAAAGAAATTAAAAAATAAAAGCATTTTAAAAGACAATTATTATCAATGATCAAAATCTAATGGTTACTGGAAAGTGGTTTTAGGGGCAAATTTATAACACATATTTCCACATTAACGAATGAGATATTACGTCTGTGAAGACTTCTCAGGGTGGTGATGAAAAGACTGTTTTGAAACTAGAGATAGGCTCTGAGAGAAGGAATAGGCCATAAGTTTAAATTACCTAAACCTATAGGAATTCGGCCCTAAACTCCCTCCTGATTGCCACTGCCACTTTAGCATTAGGTATACTAAATAAGGACATGTATGTTTGGATTGGCTATACCCTGTTTCCTTGTTCTTTGGGAATGGGAAGGATTTTCGCACCTAGAATGTAAGCCTGCCTCCCAGCCAATGGGAGTAAGGGATAGTGGCAGGGTGGGAGTTTCTTGTTTGCATTAAGATATATAACTTTGTTTTGTCCTTTGTGCCTGGCCTCTCTCCTGCTGGTAGTGTACTGGGAGGAGATTGTAATAAAGAGTAACTTTTTGCTTCCACCTTGAGAAGTCTCAGAATTTAATTGTGTTAGAGTCTCTGTACCACACATTAATAACAAAGAAAATGTAATTAAACATAGAGAAAGGAAACTTGTCACTTGCCAAAATAAAGCCGTAGATCTTGATAGATGCGACTAATAAAGGCAGGAAGGTAAGCTAGGTGTGTGGGAAACAATGACTGAATTTCTTCTTTAAGTTACCTTTCATCCAGGTTCAAATTCAGTTACAGCTGAATGCTAATGATAAGCTGGATAGTTATTTATAGCAAAAGACTTTCATCTCCAGACTAGACAAAAGGGTCAAAAGGGACAGATCTAGTCTTAGGCAAAAGGCACTGCCTGGCTTTTGTTGGCTGAGGTTACCAGACTGCTGTCAGCTGGTTCTTGGCAGGATTTGTTCTAAGCCAACACATCGTAGCAGACTGAAGGTTGGGTGAAGCAGAAACCCCCTGGCCAGTGAGAAGCAGGTCTAACAGGGCTGTGTGTCCAGCAGAAACCCCATGCTCTGCAAGAAGCAGTGTGATACGACAAATGATTATTAATAACTAGTGATTTGGGGAGATTCGGAGTTCTCCATTTTTCTATTTTCAAGACCTCAGTCTTTGAAAGTTGAGTTCAACTTCTCCTCTACCCAACCCCAACTACCTATGTGACCCTGGGCAATCAACTGATCTCCATGAGTCTCAATTTCCTCATCTATAAAGTGAAGAGATTAGACGGCCTTCTCTGTGATCCTATGACCTCAGCCCTGCTCTCTAGGGGGCTGTGGGTAGTTTAGTCTGAGAATGAATGAAGTTCCTGCTTTAAAAAAAAAAGCAAGCTGTGGTTTTGGAGAAAATGCGATAACTTTGCTCCTCATTGGTTCCTATGTAGGAGGAAAGGGTAGGTGCTTTCTACAGATCTCAGGGACCTGGAGGAAGGGGGAATTTCCAAACCCCTTCGCCACTGCTGTCTAACTATTCCAAGCTGCAGAAAGAGGCAGAGGTTATTTCTATGAGGTCCTGGAAGAGTCGTATAGTAACGATAAACTGACAAGTCAGGAAGTGTTGGGGAGGGAGTGGACAGGAAGGAGAGCAGGCCCTGGATTTGCCTAGCGGGCCTGCTGGGATGTTGGAGCAGTAGATGTTGAGAATGCCAGAGGTCATGCAGTCACAGAGAGACAGCAGGAAGGGTCCAGCTCTCTCATTTCATTGAGTAGGAAAACTGGGGTGCCCCAAGGGAACCCAAGATCCCACAGCTAGGTAGTAGCCAAGCTCGGGACTGGGACCCAGACTTCTTGGCCTCTCGTCCACAGACGGCTACAATGGGCAGGTAGGCCGAGGGATGTAATATCATTACTAAACAAATATGCACCAAATGGTATAGCCTCCAGATTCTTAGAGGAGAAGTTCAGGGAGTTATAGGAAGAAATAGACAGCAAAACTATACTAGTGGGGGACCTCAACCTTCCACTCTCTGAGCTAGATAAATCTAATCACAAAATAAGCAAGAAAGAAGTTAAGGAGGTGAATAGAACATTAGAAAAGTTAGGTATGATAGACCTCTGGAGAAAACTGAATGGAGATAGAAAGGGATATACTTTTTCTCTGTGGTACATGGCACATGCACAAAAATTGACCATGTACTAGGGCATAAAAACCTCACAATCCAGTGCAGAAGGGCAGAAATATTAAATGCATCCTTTTCAGATCATGATGCAATAAAAATTATATGTAATAAAGGGCCATGGAAAGATAAACTAAAAAACAATTGGAAACTAAATAATCTAATCCTAAAAAATGATTGGGTCAAACAACAAATCATAGAAACAATCAAAAATTTCATTCAAGTGAATGACAATCATGAGTCAACATACCAAAACTTATGGGACTAAACAAAATCAATTCTTAGGGGAAGTTTTATGTCTCTAAATGCTTACATAAATAAAATAGAAAAAGAGGAGATCAATGAATTGGGCATACACTAAAAAAAACTTGCAAAAGAACAAATTAAAAATCCTCAATTAAACACCAAATTAGAAATATTGAAAACTAAAGGAAAAATTAAGAAAATTGAAATTAAGGAAACAATTGAACTAATAAATAAAACTAAGAGCTGGTTTTATGAAGAAAAACAAGAAAATAGATAAACTTTTGGTTAATTTAATTAAAAAAAAGAAAGAAGAAAACCAAATTACTAGTATCAAGAATGAAAAGGGTGAAGTTACCACCAAGGAAGAGGAAATTAAAACAATAATTAGGAATTATTTTGCCCAGCTCTATGCCAACAGATTTGACAATCTTAGTGAAATGGATACATATTTACAAAAATATAAATTGCCCAGATTAACAGAAGAGGAAGTAGAATACTTAAATAACCCCATCTCAGAAAAAAAAAAATTGAACAAGCCATTGATGAACTCCCTAGGAAAAAATTTCCAGGGCCAGATGGATTTACATGTGAATTCTATCAAATATTTAAAGAATAATTAATTCTAATACTATATAGACTGT